GCTGATTCACATAAAGGTAAGGGTTAGGTTTAGGGTTAGGTTTAGGGTTAGGTTTAGGCGCGCTTCTGTCAGCGTGCTTCTGTCAGCGTGCTTTTGTCGGTGCGCTTTAGGGCTAATTAGTCGCTCATTCATCGCGCGGTTTTGTCACCGCGCTTTAGACACCGTGGTTTAGTCAGGCGCGCTTTTGTTGTGCGCGCATTTGTGGTGGAACCCATTTTAACATGTCCCCTATTTTTATGTTATACTCTAGTAATGTAGTAACAAGGTGTTGGAGAGATCATCCAAGGATTTCAGGGGCAGCTTTGTATTAGGTAATCTTTCTCGTTAGTTCTGCACGCAAATCTTTAGTTTCTGCATGCAAAAACCCCAAGAAGGGGACTTTAAAGAGCTACTGGGCAACTTCTTTTCATTCTTTGTGGAGTTTACCTGATATGTATAATCAAAGCAAAAGACAAATATGAACAGTGCCACAAAAGGCTGCTATTGTGTCAAAATCCTAGCAACAAGGAACCAAGAGATTTGTTGGCTCTCGGGCTGTGTCTCTGTGTTTCCCCCTGAGCATGTGATTCACCTCTTGAGTGCGCCTAGAAAAGCGTCCCAAAGCCCCCAGCCATACAACAGAATGAAATATTGGTTTTGGAGGGCATCATTGGTCAGGGAAGAACACCAGATATTCTGAATGGTGCAGCATGCTTCCCCCCCACAGTGTTGTAGCCAAGGGTAATATTAGTATGGTTCAGACAGCGACATATTGAGGAAGAAGACTAAACACTTCTGAATGAATATTGTTAACAGTAGGAGTACTTTAGAAGCATGGAAGGATGCTAGCTCTGTAAATACCCCCTCAGCATGCAGAAAATCCTATTACAGGTCCTGGCAACTCTAAAAAAGGCCAGGAAAGGATCCAAACTGAAATCCTGAAGAGGAACAGGTAGCTATTGTAGAAATAGTAAGGATGTGAGTTTCTACAGCCTCAATTCTTACCTTCCTAGCTTCTAGGGAGTGCTAGCAACAGTGGAAATGTTGAGAAGAGACGTGGCACGACAAAAGCGCAAACGTCAAAAGCGCGCCAACAAAACCGCGGCGCTAAAACCGCGATGTCAAAAGCACGCTGACAATAGCACACCGACAACAGCGCGTCNGAGTTGTAAGCCGCCCTGAGTCCCCCCAGGGAAAAGGGCGGCATATAAATAAACTTTCATAACTCATAACTCATTGTGAAACATACTTAAAAAATTCTTGAAGATAGAAACAAGCCATAGCAATCCAAAATGCTTTGGAACCTCCAAGTGGTAATAGATGCTGGGGAATAGACCCAAGAACGAGATGGCTGGAAAAACAAACAGAAGACTTTTGAAGACTATAGGGTTGGCTGGAACATGAAGAAATGTTAAACTATGTTTTTCTTTCTCTAAATATGTAATTTTTTTTTGTTTGGACAGATATGAGCTGAAAGTCAAAATTCAGGATGAGAGGAACGTTGAGCTATATCCTGTGGACAACGAAGCTACCCATATACTCAACATCAAAAGAGGCATCGTCTCTGCTCTCCTTGTGCCAACAGAGGCAGAAGACAATATCCAAACATTGCCCATGGTAAAGAACATATCCATCCTGTTTTCTTTCAATGAATATGATTAAATATGGCTCAGTGACCCAGGCAAACTGTTGCCCCTGTGAGAAGGGGTTTTTGGGTCGTTAAACATGCTTTGATTGACTATAGAGAAATGTGGTATTTTTGTCTTTGTAGGATACGGTCTATGGAGAATGTGACAGCAACATTGAAGTAAAAAATAGAAAAAGCAATGCTCCTAATTTAGTAGACATTGAAATAACAAGAAATCTGAAATCTTGTGAGAACTTCAACCCTATCAGAGGTTATGTCAGCCCAATTGCTTTCATTAAAGGCTTGGTAAGTACACGGAGCATGAGGGAAAATATGCACTATTTGTGTTATATGACTGGGATATACCACATTTTCCATAATCACTATCATTACGAAATTAAGCTATCATTTTTATCAATGTAATTTGATGAAATATCTTTTCTCGGAGATCAAGTAAGATTTTTTTTTTTTAATGAGCAAACCAAGTATTAAAATTAAAAAAGTGAAATGCAAGTTTCCAGCAGGAGTCGTGATCCAAGATTCTCACTTTGTTTTGTTCTTGGGACTGGCCTTTCTAAACCTATGAAGTGGTTCACAACATGCAGAAGATCTCAAATTAAATTGGGGCATTCTGCCTAAAAAGTAAATCCTTTCGCTCCTTTTTTTATTTCCTCTGGGAGGGGCCATTCATCGTCCACCTTTGACCTTACTCCCAAGTCGACCCCTGTTCTTTAGCTGTTCC